CGTTATTCTCCTACCTAGTGCACGCAATCTGACGAACGCACTTTACATCGGTTAAGACCTATTTCATTCTCTACGGTTGGAATGTAAAAGAATAAACATGTTGAAAAAGCGTCCACGTTTAGTCGTTCTATGTCAATCGATTGGGTCGAGGAGTAAACGATCACCTAGTGGATGCGAAGCCCCTTGCACAAGACTGTCAATAATGATAGTCGGCATGTAGCTTATTCTACAAACCATCTTGGGATAACGGTGGCTGAACGGTACAAGCCATCAATCCGTAGTTCAGTACTTTTTTTCGAAATCTATCCTACTATCTCATCAACTGATTTTCGTTGACAACTTTTCACTGATCGCTTCCAACATCTCTCAAATTGATTACTCCTTAGTCATATGTCAAATGGATGGAAGTAAAAAAACATAAGTCCTATTTTTGGTGTTATTATTGGATTTAAGCGGTGAGCCACCTACATCTTCTGAATGTAGCATTCGATATCTGCCTTTCTGACCTGATGCTCAGCGATACCAATAGAAATTCTTACATTTCCAGCATTAGATGCATACTTCCACCATGGTCCATTTTCAAGTATTTTCCACCTCAACCTTGGTGAAATGAACCCTCGTGAGATAGCTTTTTCAGTTAATCTAGTATTACATGAAAGTAGTGGAGGATTTGACTCATTTAGACGGTGTATTTTCTCGTGTACAGAGAGAAGGAAGCGTGAACTGAATAGCCAGGAAGCACTGTGCAACAGTTTCAACCTGACTGGGTTTCATCAGGAGTGCCGAACCATCGGACCTATTAGAGATCAAACCCGCGACCTCACAGGCAGAACGCGAGCACACTTTCTATTCGACCACCAGCAGCCAATCAGAACGTTTTTCGTTCTACCTATACACGATGTAGCACAGCCCGTATTTTCATGTTTATTGGTAGCACCATAAATCGCACATGTTAGCTGTGGGAGCAAAGTAGGCATACGGATTCATACGTAAAATAAAATACGGTCTGATCGGCTGCCCGGTAGTCGAGTGGATGGTATGCTTGCGTTCTGCCTGTGAGGTCCCGGGGTCGGTCCCCAGTCGGGCCGATGGTTTCGCTCTGCGGTGAAATCCAGTTAGGTCGAAACAGCTGTTCCCGGCTATTCAGTTCACTCTTTCCTTGCTCTGTGTACGAAGAAATCCATTACTCTCATATAGCAAGTAGTCAGGCTGTGGTGTTTTCAACCGAGTCATGATCCTGGTGGCTGATGCTGAGGTAATCAAGCATTCTATAATTTCACGCGTTATTCCTGTTGTTTTCTTGTTAAAATTAGTATTGGTTTCCGAACCCATTTTCTGATATTTTTTCCCCGTTCCAGATCTGATACTGATGGATGTTTGTGCAATCCTACTACCGCCTCCCTTTTGGGTCGCATAGAGTGCCGTGATCAGGAAATTCAATACTTGAAAGAAGCAAACAATGCAGCACTGGAAAAAACGGTACATTCTTATTGTCAGTTCTCTCGGTCTCTTTTCCTTTCGACTAGATCCTTATTTTCACAAGATAACATCACACAAAAGTTCGTTGTTCTCACCTCTCACTGAGGTTTTTTGCAGCTTGTTGTTCGTGAGATTTCTTTTTATGCTAGACACTGGTGATTGTCTACTGCAAATCTACATATAGCTGTCGAAAAATAATGTATATATATATATATGTATATATTTAACGTACTGATCTAGCTTGTTATTTGAAGCTGATATACCATATCTGTTGTATTCAGCCCACAAGTCAATCATGGAACGTTTTTCTTTTTTATAAGAAATATTGTACCTTGATTTGCCTGGCACACAGTCTGTCCTCAGTCAAGTGTGAAATACAATATAGTAATGTGGATAAAACATTAAGAGCTGCATTTTCCCGTTGTTCTTACATGTAAGTTACTATAACATTTCAGTGAATATGCGCCCTCAGTAGTGCTTTTAAACACCACCGCAGTTCCTTCGAGGTGTTTTTAGTAATCGATGCCTCTTATTCGTACTTGACGAGCAGCCACGTTTATATAAAACACTGTTCGTGGAAAACCAATAAGCAATTCACCAAATACGGTCTGCACTCTTTAGCTGTCTACTCAACACCAGTTCCCCTTTCTCCGATCAGACCACACCTTTATATCTTTCAGTAGGCGCTGTTCTAGAGTATGATAAGTTATTGATTGTAACATATATACCATGGGAGAAATTAGTAGGAGAATATTCGTCATCATTCACTTTCACATTGGAATTTAGTTTTCTCCGGATTTGGTTCTCATTTACAAATCTGCTGTCAAAGTGAACTTTGGCACATAGGTTTCTTGAAATCAGCAAATGATGCTAGTGTTAAAGCCAACGCTTATATCTACTTGATGTAACTCCTAAGAAAGACAAAATCTGTACAACTGAGCAGTCTGTTAGTTTGTTCCATCCGCTGCACATTCATTTGTAGCCTGATCAAATTATGCCTACATACCGGCCTAAAATACTCACTCTCCTTAGCTATTCTGATTGGGTTTTTGAATGCTGATTTGATCACGAAAGACGCTCCTGGCTCTTTGTGTCGTTATTTATGTGTTCAATATGCATCAAAACGACCCGTTGGTCTTATGTTAGAACCTCATCTCTGTCGCGCCCTCCTGATCTCCTCGTTTCTTTGTGTCCCTTCCCAGCTTTTGATTGAGTTCTTCCTCGTTCTGCTCATTTGGTCTTACAATTCTTCCAGTTTGCAAAAGGAAGTCAGGATTGAAAAATGGAATATAGTTCAGCACCTAATAGAGCCCTTCAGAACGAGGATGAGTTGCGTTGACTCGTGTATCAGCCGAGTCAAACATCCTAAATAGATGCCAAGTGAATAAATAGGTAATCCGTTTGTTTTAATGTATTTCAAATCCCCGATTCTTGTTTCAATGTGTTTCGTAGTTGCACTCCAATTGTGATGCAACTGGGTTGGAACAGAAATTTAGTCCCTCGATCTCTCACTTATGTACGTGGGGTTTAAACACGACAGTTTAATCCAAGTTTCAGTTATTCAATCACTAGTTAAGTTAGTTGTGAGCTTTTAAGAGTGGGCTTTCGATTAAAATCGTCGGTTGCCGAAAATAAAATTGTGCCAGTTTCGAAAAGTTCATTTTGTTTATTTCCTTTCCCTTTAGCGGTTTGACATTATTTCCGCCACAAATTTCGCTAAATGTTCCTGAATAACTGATACCATATGAAAAATGTGTAATTTGTGTTGGATTATTTCGTTCATAGTGTCAGTTACCTTGATCACGTGAGATGAAGCTCACTGATCTTTCTTTATTGCAACGTAGAAGTACACATTCCTTTGCGACTTGTTGAAACCCCATGGAGTTTCTTTTGCACGGTACTTCACGTCGTGTTAGTACGTGTGTAGCATAGATTGCTATCATTTTTCCTCCCTGTCGATCATCTCCATTTCGCTTTATCTTCACTGGCACGAGGACGTAATGCGATACAACCGGGCTGTTATAACTGGCCGTTGAGCCGGAATACTCTAGAACTCTGTTTCCTGGGCAAAGGCTAGTCAGTCCGGTATCAAAATTCTGCTAAAATTTTATCTTCAGTCCTCAGTGTATCCAGGAGGTAATTATTGTTTTCCGTGATATACATTTCTCTTACCGGCTCTACTTGAGACCACACGCAAGAGGTTGTTTATGAAGACATCCCAATTGATCCATCGGATCAAATATGCACGTATCACCTGTAATCTATTTCTTTGTAGTCTCTAATTCCACTCGCACATCCCTAAAAGTGCCCTAAAATTAACAAAAATAGTCAATCTTCCTTTCACATTGTCGTTTTATACATTTCTAAAACACAGTATTTCTCCCAATGTTGAACAGAAACGTTTGGAACTGCTCCTCATTGAACGTGATGATCAATTGAAACACCAAGCTGAGAAATTATCTGCTAGTGATCAACTTCGGCGGGACCTCGAATGCCAGGTTTTAGAATTGCAAATTCAAGTGTACGTGAATCCATCCCTTGGTTGAACTGGTACATTTTTTATACATTGTGTAACTTTTTATTTTGAAGCGCTTCTCTGTTTCTTCCATTGCACTTCGGTGATGGCTCACTTTACTCGGTCAGATGATCTGCTTGAAATCCCAGAATAAACTTGGGTAATTTTAGTATCGACATGAGATTAACCTACTAAGTGATTAATCATCGCATGTTGACCTATCAGCCGTACCACTGATATTCATCAACCAATCGATCTTGGACTAACTGACGGTAGGCCAAGTCCCATGGGGAGGACGTGAAATCGACCGCGGGAACCAACTGGGGTAGTTCACTGATAATGGGAAGGATTCACCACTCCGCACGCTCGGGTTTGAGCCCTCACAAGCTTGGTGAACATACAATGAAAATGAGCGCCTGGTTAATGGTTGTAAAAACTGAAACTAAATCGAACTTTTGATGTTTCTCAACAAACATGATGTAAAAAATAATCACAGTAGTTCCAAAAGACACCTAAGACACGTTGACATTGCATTGTGAATCAGTTTTTAGTCGCTCTATCTCCTGTTACTAACATTAAATTATTGTCAATCATTTTTTAGAATTCTCACAATTATAGCAGAAAATGTGGCATTTTTTCTCGCTCTTTACATTATGAATATCGCGAATTTATGTTAGGATTTTTTACTGTGCACTATAGTGCGATGAAAACTAGACAGGATAAACCGATGTCCAACTGGATCTGTCGTTATGCAAATCAACAGACTAAACCATAACGTCCCAAGTGACGAACCGCCTTAGATCCCTCTGAGATAGTCAATCGATTTAAATGCTGCCCACTAAGAAAGTTGTGTAACAATGTCTAGATCCAAACCACCACAGAGCCCCTGTGTCAGAAAATTCAGACACTACCATTACCCACGCTCAATAATTTCGCTTCACGATTTCACGGGGAATTTATAAATGTTTTTTGTATCGCAATTAGGACTCTGTTTCACGAGCAGTGCATGCAAGAATTATACAAAGCTGGCATCAAGGATACGCGTCTGAAAGCACCTACGGTGAAGCGATGGAATGATGTGAGTGAGCGCCGACGACGTTTGATTGAGCAGGCTTGTACTACTGGTAACCGACAATCAGTCGCAGAACACCTTACAAAGTCATCCGTTTCGCGAACACGGCGCAACACACATGGTCGTCGTGGAACGGTTCTCTCTGTTCTGCATGTAGCCCAAGGCATTGATGCTCTAAGCTACCAATCGTCCGAAGGTGGTGGACATTCAATGGCGAGTTCATTAATCAGCGGAAAATCTTCTCGACCGAGAAGCATGGTTTTTGAAAGCATGCGTTCATCGAACGAGGTGGAAATAGGACAAGAAGTCGGTGTAGAGTCGGCACTTCCTGTACCGGATACCGACCCTGTCTTCCCATCTCCTAAAGGTCTGACACAGGATGTCACCCCGATTGCATCTGGCAAATATAATAACCATTCACCTGCGGAATCTGGCTCACGGTACAGTGCTTCCTATCATCACGTCAGATCGAAATCCAAGACAACCGTCCCTTCACAAAGTCCGGTAAGCGCTTATTTATATGGTTTTGTGATTATGACTATAGTTTCAAATATGTACTCACCTGAATGTTTGGATGTAGTTCTTGACATACTTTCTGCACCCTCGAAGTTAAAAATTCCGTCCTAGGATTGAGTTGATTGTACCCTAAATCTCAATCTCACCATGATGGTTGCAAAATTAGATGCATTAAGGGAGAGCATCCCCTGTCATGTGTATACCTTTGTACCTCATTATGAAGAGTCAGATTATCAGTACACCGTGTTGCAATCCAATTCACCTGACCGGTCAGGTTTGTGTGCCCTTCCTCTGGTTTCCATTCGGTTGCTGTCAAGGTCGCAACAGTTTTGATAAACCCAGGATATGCAGTACAGAAACCCAAATCCCCATTCTCTGTAGTGATTTGTTCACCCAAGTAGCTTGACATACCCATGGAGAAGCCGATAACAAGTGCACCAACTGTGATACGGTGTTGTCACTAAAATGTAACTGGTTGGTTCATCTGGACTTGATCTGGTGTATATAATCTTCACCTGAAATGCTATGCCGTGACAATCTAATCGTCAGTACTCGTTGCGTATCTGTTTCGTTTTGGTGCAATGAGAACCTGGATTACAGGTGCGGTCGTACGACTACTTTTCTTTGCTCCACTATCTCCTGCTGGAATGTAGTCGCGTTATGGGTATTATCCATAGGGTTTGGTAGGTGCTGGTGTCGCCAGCGTCATTTGGAGCTGTCCTACTATTCAGTCGCTCAATCCGGAGTAGGTCATCTTATCCGACCATTTTTGTTTGAGACTGCACGTCTACCGTTTGTACATCCGAATGCAATCTGAAAGATAGCAGGGTTACTTCTGACGAGCGGGTTGCCCATTGCGAAGTCATTTTGTCTCTTCCAGAAAACCGCATTGGGTGGATGGAGCACAACGGGAGCAGCG